TGCGAGACATTATATCTCTAAAACGTTATTACTAACCACAAATTAACCAGATAATGAAAAACTGGGCTTTAGCGATATAATAGGAAGGGAACTACAAAAATCTAAATAAAAAGTTAAATAAAGACGATTACTTATCATTTATATAGAAGTCTTTATTTAGAAGATACTTCAGTTCATTAATAAAATATAAATCTTAATTGTTGTAGTTTAAAAAGCCAATAATCTTTTAAATAAAAACTTTTGTAATTAATAAATATTGTCGTCTTTATTTGACTTCTTTAAGTATTCGCAATTTCCCTATTCTCCTCCACATTAAAAATATCGAAATGTAATGATATATTAATTAAATGGCATTCTATAGTTACGTGTATAGTGCAATACTCTAAACGTATATCGGATCTATTACTAGATGCTGGAAGTAAATGGTTATTAGCATTATTACCCGGGTTATTATTACTTTAATATGGATAAATAGATAAATAAAGGCATTTATCATTCTGGCTAGTCCTTTAAGAACACAAAAATGAAAAGCGTAAGAACAAAAAAATTATACAAATACTGAAAATAATACAGCAAAAATAATAGAAATATAAATAAAATATGAAACGGACTATATAAAGGCTGAGAAGTGTAATATGCTACAATAGCGTTTATTCCATGCTCGTAATTTCTCACTCTGCCATAATTAGTATATAGAACGATTCAATTCAATCGCTGTAGAACGAAACATTCCTACAATATTATGTTGTAAAATAGATCCTTTACAAATGCCCAAATTCCTTAGATAGAGAAATTTGCGGTCGAGTTTGCGGTTTTCGTACGTGTTCTATATCTAATCTCGGTTTACCTACTGGCGCGTGCACAGACCTACCAACGAGATATTTCATTTTAGACAAAAATTCTTGAATTTCCATTCGATGTGCATGTCGCTCCGTTTTTCGAGCATTTTGTTTTTGAAAGAATAGAAAGAATCTCGAGTACATTCTTTCAAGGAGATAAAGACATAGGGCATTTTGTACATCCCTAGAGCGCGCGAAATCTGTCTAAGATTAACTGAAAGCACATTGCACTATGATATGTAGACATCTCTGCGATATTCCATTAACATTCCCCAGAGTAACCAAGATCATCCTTAAATATCCCAGATGGCCTCATGTGATAGCTACGAATACAACTGACACACGACGGTACGAGAGATTCGCACTACGTTCACGTGTAGGATCCACTCTCGTATTTTACAGCAGTTAAGGACTTGAGCACGAAAGAGGAAATGATGATTACTTTAACTCCAACACTGAAAAAGATTTGGTAATAGCTACCAAATGTAGAGCGGAGTAATTTTAATCAAATTAATATAATTAATCAATTAATACAATTATATAATATAATTTTACTTTTCTAAATATTTTCTAAATATTATCAAACATAATAATAATATAACTAATCGTTTATTAATAATTGCTAAATATTTAGAAAAGAAATTATTTTTAATAATTTTAATCGAATATTGACTGAAATTACTAGATTCCTTTTTCAGTGATTGTGGCTCGATTTATAAAATAAAAATTGTATTATATAACTTTTATTGGAAAAGGTGGCCTTAAAATAAATACATTCTATGCTTGCAAGTCAAATGAAAAAATATTCAAAGTAATATAGTAGAATTAATAATAATGAACCCTTTACAATGGATGTAAGTAGTAAAGCGAGTAACTAGCTCGTCTTCGTTAAATATGTCAAAACATTTGAAAAAGTTAAGTCGTTTCTGAAAAATCTTGCAGACAAACGAACAGACGAACGGTTAGATATCAATTGTGAAATTATAAAGCAGTTTACTACGCGGCACTACTTATAAAACTTAATAAAACATATGATGATGTTTCTTCATGACTATCTCAATCAAGAGCACAAATACGTCGATCGAGGAACGGCTTGAAATCCCATAAGGCCCACTATCACTCGCGCCGCGCTTCGGCGTCAAACAACGAAGAGGCAGCAGAAGCATTAGAGTCGCATTAGGGATCGCATTAGAATCGGATAATAGTTCGGAATCAGTAGCAAGAGGCTTCACCTGCGTTTCATAGGCGGCAGACGCTGTTGTCCTGATGAGAAGGGCCCACTTCACTCAACGCTGTATCCATAATTCAACGAGAAGGATCGAGATAGAGGGAAGCGTGGGCTGTACGGAACATTCGCGGAATTTGGAACGTACGGATGCTTGTCTATTGATCTCTCTTCACGGCCGCGCCATTGTGACTCGCTGATCGCAGGTTCTTGACCACAAGTCCGAAGTATGAAAGTTAGGCAAGAGATGTTCGCACATCGCGTCGTTGAACAGTCGGGTTCTTGGAATTATATTCTTGGAATTCGGAAATGTAAGGTAAATGCCTATTGAACCGGACGGATAACACAACTCCATCGTGAATTCCAAACTGATTGGCATCTCGTACTATATATAGGACCACCGCGACGCGGCGCGGCGGTCCTTTGACAAGAAAAATGAAAATTGCACCTAAAAATTACGGTGCATTGCTCCTCATTGGAGGAGGGAAACGACAAAGGCCCACTTGTAAATTGAAATTTACACATTGCGGCTTCGAATTTTCATTCTTGCTGCGAATATCGGTTTTTACGGTATAACGCGCGTGAATGATGTAATGACATGCGTTCGTAGATTTAAATATCGCAAATATTCGCGGGTTCGGACGAGTTGGTTTGGTTACCGCGTGTCAGATGATAAATCGTGACGGACGTTTTCGAAATTCACGTGCGTGGAAATATAACCATCGATCTGTCTGTATGGGTCGTGCCTTTGTCAACGATAAGCTCGCCATTGACAACAATTGAGCCGTGTGAGCTGTAAAAGTCGTACACAAAATCCATGAGAGAATCTCTCTCATGGAGCTATCAACGATATTTTTTTATTTAAGGTTATCTGTATATGTACATCTGTATAATCTCAAAATTTATAACTAACAATGTATTTTAATATAAACGACTATAATACGTATACAAAGATACGTTGTAATTTAAAAATACGTTTTATTAAATTGCAATATGAGATTTGCACTTGCAATATCAAAATCTATGATTGAAAATAAAGTGAAATATCATTATAATAAAAAACGAATGTTGAAAAAACATAATTTTTTTAAATTGTCACTTAGATTTAACAAAAATTAACGATTTTTATACAGCCCTTTAATTTGATTTATCTCTTTAATAAACATATTATAAAATATGATTTAATTTTAATCGATCTAAGAGCATAATTAAAGCAATGAGATCCAAAACAAAGCAGTGAAATTATTTGCGAGACGCGAGAGGAAGTAGTTGAAGTAGAAAGGTACATCCACTTGAAGTCGACGACAATATTCACAACACGTCGCGGGAAGCGCTGTAATGTGCTCTTACCTCTGACAAAGCGAATGCTAATCAAGTAGTACTACTCCGCGGAGTTCCGCGCGCATTAAAATTCATAGCAGATCGATATAACAATTAATCTTAGCACGCGCGGTGCATCGAATCGTCGTACGTCGGTAATCGATACTCGATGGAAGACAATTAAGATACAAGACCCAGGCATTGGAGATGAGGATACGTTGTTTCTGTGCCTCGCGACGCTTGCAACAGAAGTTGCTGCGGCGATCGCTTCATACATAAATTTATCCCATGCCTGACACGTCCCATCGGATTTCGTTGCTTATAGGTTCTTATTATATAAGGACCCATAATCCACAGGAGAGGATTGGCGTTCTCATGCCGTTAGTGAGAACCTTTAACGGAATACAAAATTCATTCTAAGCTCGGGAGGGTCCTCAGGACTGATCTTCCCGTAATCGCTAGTCAATATCGTAAAGAGACGACGATCGCGGATCGGTCGGTTAATTTTCCTAGGGCGGTGTGGGAATATCCTCGGAATTCTTGACGTATTCTCGGAATACTGAGTTTTCGATGTGGTCGGTATAGTCTGCAGTGACACGTGACTGCAGCGCATCTCGGATCTCGTCGAATCCTTAACAGGTAGTTCTTAACATGATAATTCCATCCTGTCTTCTGCACGTCCCATGTGTTTCATCATCATGAGAAGGAACATGACGCACTGTTCATTTCTTCATCTAGAATTGCAAAGGCAAATTAATCGATTAGCGGAAATATAGAAAAAATTACAGAAACCGTGAAGGATCATAAACGAAATTAAAGCAAGAATGAAATAAAATTTAAGCATAAAATTAAGTATTTAGGTACCTTATATTATCCACCGTTATCTACGCGAGTCAGCGTTTTCCCGACGTCAAATGTTCACGATGACAGAACGTCTTTGAGATCGCATCAGCTCGAGAAGAGTCAGGAAGTTGGCGATGAGACTCGCCAACCTGACTCAAGAAATGGGTGATCCTCAGCGACCACCAGTCAGCACGGATAGACGATCAGCTCTCTCTGGTGTACGGAGGTCGCGCAAGAAGATGACAGGGATGGCACTCCATTATCGTTCTGTAACTCCTTTTAATTATCTCGGCCATAAGTTATAACCGGATTCGCGCTTTTTCGCGTCCTTATCGGACCGGGACCGCGATTTTCCCCGGTGCCGACGGGAAGAAGAGGAAAAAAGAAGAACGAAGAGAGGAGTGGTGATGAGGAAAGAGGTCGACGCACTAGGGAACAAGGAGAAGAGGAACAAGGCGCAGAAGAAGAATAAGGAAAACAAGAAGAAGTAGAAGAAGATGAGGAAGAAGAAAAAGAGGGATGCGCGCAAGATAGGCAACGGGGTAAAAGGGTGGCGGCTCCCTCGCGCGGGGGTAGGGGAAACGGTCTGATATACAACCGGGCTATGGGAGGAAGTCGCGCGCGCACATACACAAACACATATACACGCGCGCAGCCACCCACACAAGTAGCCTCAGATGCACACAGGCGCAGTTCCGCAGGCCGAACGGGGCGGCTGCGTGCTCGACACCCGAGTGGCGCTCGCGCAATGTAGTCCCTCGGCTATCCTCGACGCGGGAGCATCGTCGTTTCGAAAGAGCCACGACCTTCTCCCCGTTGCGTCGCGCGCGTCGCGTCGCGTTCTCAGTGGTGTCAGGGGGTGAAGTACGCGCGAGAGGGGCCCATTTCGCACTCCCGAGGACCCTCTTCTGCGGACCTTTTCGCATAGTGTAGAGGAGCGTGCGGAATCACGTGAACGTGAGCGACGACATGAAAATCCAGCCTCACAGACTCCGTCCCCGTGCGGTTCTTCGGAATTGACGGAGACGTACGTATCTATTTTGCCCCCGGTCTCTTTTCACCCTCGTTTCTTCTTGCCATTCGTGTGTATTCTGAAATGGAGTAGCGCGACACGAGATAGTGCGTGACGCGGTGCGTAAATATTTCCGGGGGCATCTTCGTACGATCCCTTCACGAAGTGATAGTGATGGTATAGTGAAGTAGTGTCTATAAAACGATATCTGGAGCTAAATGAATGATCGTGCCAGAAGATTTCGATCATCCAGCAAGCCGTCTGCACGACGTTCGATTGAGGTGTGAGATCGGGGTAGAGAACGCGAAGTACGTATCGGAGCGTCGTTGGACATTTTAGAATTCTAAAAAATTTAAAACATTTCGTTGTCGCAGGAGTGGCTAAGTACTTGTTCAGCAATAAATCCTTCACTGCCTGTTCTAAAAATTCAAATAAATTTCGCTGAGAAGAAAAAAAGAAGGAAACGATACCGATCGTTAAATATAAGAAAAAAATTATTTATCACAGATACGTATGCGAATTTTTTCGCAAATTCCGTCCTGCAGTGCTCTGCTTCGCCAAACATAAATCCTGCGTGAAACAGCTTCCAGCTTCATGATAGGAAGCCTCTGAACGCTTAAGGACGTCATCGACGATCTCTCGAGGGTCTGCGTTTAATTGCCGGTGGCCTTGCTGGTGGCATTAGACGTGCAGAAGTACGTTACAGGCGAAACAGACTGCTAGAAGAAGGCGTGGTAGAAAAAAAATCACATCTGTCAAGGCAGAGAATCGTGGCAACACGGCGCGACTGATGGGGAGATGTTAAAGTTAAAAACCGCTCGTAAAACGCGTCGTCTCGCGGGTGCCACAACACTGCCGCTGTACAAACGAAACTTGTTTATTGGTTCCGCAACACCGACGTCGATGCACAATTGAAAAGTCAGAAAAAATCAGCAGCTTGTTCTCTGTTGCCAATCGCTATCGAAAGAGTTTTACGCGGCGGACAGAGCTCGCAACCGTGAAAGGGAGCGATTTGTATAGACCAATCGTCGAGCGACAGCTATAAAGGAACAAAAGAAAAGAGAGGCGAAGTTCCTTCCTCGTTTGCGGTTACTATCGAAGCACGTTCGAAGCCGATCCCTCGAGCGGAGGAAGAGAAATTGCGAGTCCGGAAAAATGCGGTGAAACCGCGCACACAGGGCAAATAACCGTGATGGAATGATCGATGGAACGTCCAGTGCATCGTGTGGATTGCATTAATAACGACGACCAGCCTAATGCATCGCCAGCGATCTTACGGTCGTCGACGTAGCGCTAGGTACGAAGACGCCGCTTAGTGCCGGAAGCGATCCTTCGCATCGATCAATATGGATCACAGGGGAATAATCTCCGTCGGCAGAGCGAGTGATAATGGTGATGCCGAGGCGTTCTCCACTTAAGTGAGAGCTGGAATCACGCGACCGATATTGCGAGGCTAAAGTTTATCGCGATTGAGGTCAAAGCGCCGCGATGTAAAAACAAGTTCGTTCGCAGATCACCAGATTTAACGACAATTTTCAGCCGACGGACGTGAATAGTAGACGTTGAATTAATTATCGAAGCATCTGTTTTTCGGGATGTGGTCATTCGTACGGAATACGCAATTCACGAAACCACGATACATTACGCAGTAATTAGTGACGTCGATTTGTAATTGGGAGAATGTGGTATCGTCGTAGAGTTGTTTCGTGATAGTGAGCGAATTATTGAGCAGTGGTCTCCATCATTCCCGTTTAGGGCGATTTTATCGACGAGGGAAAACTAATTGAGACGCCACGTTTTAATTTGTGCGACGTGAAGCGAGATTACGGCATTTCCATTCGCGCGCGAGTGGTTGTGCATGGGATGTACAGTGATACGAAGTGATTCTGTCCGCTCTGAACGAGAATACGTGGAATGCCGCGAACGTCGATGCGCGGAGTTTGTTAGTGGATTCGCCTCTATCGTTTAACCTTTCCTGAAAACGACTGCGATGCGTCTGAGATAGTATACCAATATGTGAATGAACCACGCTAGGGAAAAGCGATGTCTACTTCTCTTCCCCTACTTGTCTGTTTTATAATTTGTTTTGGTGAGTGTACTGCATCTACATAAATTACAGACGAACGCTTGTATCGAAGTAATTATGAATTATGAAAGAGATCTACTTAAGGATGTTTTATACATATTTTCAAAATGATAAAATTATGAAAAAATTACATTATATACAAATTATTTTAGATCCCATTTAAAAATAATTAACAATAAAAATAATAATAAATAAAATAAATAAACGATAAAAATATGTTATTAAATAAAAATGTAATCTTATTCACACAATTTTCATACGTATTGTATATAGTTTATTTGAAGTGTAAGTATTAAACACATTTTCAAATTTAATTTTCTTAGCAAGGGCTGTACGTGTGATACATCCTTAATTTTCGACTAAAGCTTCGGGTCTTTCGGACCTGAAGCGAAAATATTTTACATCTATATGGTTACATAGTACTTATTAGATCCTAAATTGTAGATTTAAAAAATTTCTAATTTTCCTCTACACTGAGAAAAATTTCTGGTTAAAAATGAATGAACGAGAAGGTTCTAATCATATCAATTGGAATTTTGGTTATTTCAACTAGAATTATAATAGATTCAACCAGAAATTTCTGATTTGTTTATTTTCGATTAGAATTCCAATTAATTTAATCAGACTCTTCCCAGTAGTATCAATCGCCGTAAGGCAGAAGTTCATTTGTATTCTGTACTTCAAACAGGACGCTTTAGAACTTAGGTACAGTTTTCATAACTGTAGTTAATAATATAGCTATATTAGGTAATTAGATAAATGCATCGATGCGAGTGTTTATCTTGGAATTTTGGTTCGTGTATTTCGTATGTTAGTATCATTGAACGTTGGTTAGCATTATAATATGTATGTGTAATAACGCATTTCGAATATGTAAACCTACCAGCTTAAAGTTTCAAATATCGGGAAAAGCCAGGCAAATCAAATAGATCACGATTCTCGAACGTCGGTAATCGATGTATTCTCGTTAATTGCACGCGCAATTATTGAGGCACCTAATAATAGCGGTATATTACGTGGTTTTAACTACCGTATACTGTTACGTTACGTTCAAGTCCCGAGCACGTACGTCCCAATTAATATTTCGTGACCCGACGCAGTCAAGTCACCTATGCAAAAGTAAGGGTTCATTGACGATCACGATGACATGTCTACCGACAGTAATCTGCATATGTATATGGCGATGATTGTAATGACTGCCTTCGAATGAATTTTTATGATCCGGGATTATATGTCAAGAGAATATACACATATAACGCACAGTTATCAAAATATATTTTGCATTTTTTTACAAGCATTGCCACACATAACGAATCTCACTGAATATTTACAAAATTAGAGAATGGGACAATATATAAAATTGTCATGCAATATGCAACATTTTAATGAATTGTATGTATTATAGTGGGTTTCAAAGTGTATATTAATAGCGTTTTGTGCAGGATGTATATAGATTTTGTACTCTTAGGATAAAGGACAAAAATCAATTTGCGTAATTGTGTGTAACATAAAATTGTTGAAACTGGCATTTTTTAACATAAACATTACATATATGGGATGTTCCACGTCAACGGGGACAAGTGTCTGGGCAAAATTTGTAAAGTCGAAATAAGACGTTCGAAGGCTTAAAATCTTTGTTTTTATATGTGGTTTAAGGAAAAACGTGGCATTTTTTAAAATTCAAAGCGGCTCTAAATATGCTCCAATATGGCGGTTAGAATAAATAAAAAACTTATGAAAATTATTGAAAATATTTATTTCATTGATCAAACGGTCCAAAATTCATTCAATTTCCATGAAAATCGATATTTGTGAGTTTTTCGAATCACTCATAAACAATTCGTAGTCATATTTCCAAAATTCAAATTCATTGCGATTCACTGATTAGTTATAAAGATATTGAACAAATAAATATTTTGTTTATTTACTGAACAACTATATTTCATGCATCGCAATGTAACTCTACGTAAATAATCTTGAATACATAATGTATACTTATATTAAACAATCGAGACTTTTATGATTTATTTTATATAATATATTTCCATATATTTTTATTAGAGATTTAAAAAATACTGTTATTTATTAAAATAACTTATCGGTTTACGATCCAGATAGTAAACCGTCATCAAATTTGTCGTATTATTTTTAAATGTGATCTAGAATAATGTAATTTTTTGCTAATTTTGTTATTATTTTGAAAATATGTATAAAACATCCTTAAATGAATTTGCACATTTATGCCCGTTTCTACCAATGTAATTTTAATATCGGTAGGTACAATTTACTCTTCATCTTTTTCTAGTTCTAAAAATTAGAAAAATGAGTAGAAAAAGTAAAGAATAAATTGAACCGAGATTAAGATTAATCTGTATTGATAAAAACGGGTATTAATACTTAATGTGAATTGTTCTTATATACAGGGTGTTTCCAAATTAAATGGCAAAACTTCGGGAGCGTGTAGAGGAGTAAAAAACTAAGAAAAAAAGTCCTATAGACATATGCTCGTTTTTGCTCCGTTTCAGAGAAATCGAAAAAAAATGTTTACATTTCTTGCCATATCTAGCACCGACATATTTGATTACATTTTCCACTTTCTGTTATGAATTTGTCAGTCGCTCTTTGAAAGCCTTTAACAGTA